AGCCAGAGGGAGAGAAAGTGCTCTCTTGGGGGTGGGGGGGGGGACCAGAGCGGGCACAGCACTGACCTCTGATCTTGGAGGAAGAGGCACCCAGGAGCCTGGTTAGCAAGTGACCAAGCTGGCTGTGGCCCCAGGAGCCAAAGTTAAAGGCGGGGAAGAAGGAAGCGGGAAGTGACCTCAGGAAAGCCTGCCCCCAGCTCCCAGGCCTTGGCTCTGGGGGGCGGGGTGGGGAGGGGAAGTTTTCCAGAGAGACGAAGGGTCCGTGTCTTTGCAGTCTTCAGCTCAAAGACCAGGACACAGAAGGATGGGCTGGACTAAATAAAAGGGGATAGGGCAAAAAGGGAGGGTCAAGACAACACTAAAATGAAATGGAAGGCGTTGGGCTGGTGAATTTTCCCCCTCAAGCCTCACTTCTTTTATCCTGAAGTTGGGGAGGCACTGGGGGCATTAAATGAGATTAGGCCTGTCAAGTGAGGTAAGGGCTGAGAAGAGGGGAAGTTGTTACTCTGTTGTTTATGTGGGTTGAAAGTTCAAGGGTGGACTGGGAATGCACGTGTGTGATTCAGTTTTCACTGCCTCAAAGTTGCCTTCCTGCAAGCAATTCGGCCTGCAATTCCTTATTTTGGGGTTAAACCTCTTATTGTCATGAAAAAAAAAATTAAAAACATGGGAAAACATTTTTTTAGTTATTTTTTTTAAGATTTTTATTTTTAAGTAATCTCTGCACCCAATGTGGGACTCAAACTTACAACCCCAAGATCAAGGCTCTCCTGCTCCACTGACTGAGCCAGCCAGGCACCTCTGGAAAACACTTTTACAAAGCAGAAATCACTCATAATGTCACCAACCAGTGACAGCCTCTGTTCACATTGTGGCAGAATTGATGAAGCTTTTACATAATCAGAAACATTATTTATACTTACATAATATCATATTGTAGGTTCCTGTAATTCCCAAGATTGTGGGACATCTTAGTGGCTTTTTTTTTAAATCTACTACAACTAGTGCACTTTATAAATACATAAGTCTTTGTCCACATCTTTGATACTTCCTGACAAACTTTCTGATAAATTCCCAGAAAGATAGTCATCGGGTCTAGGAGTTGAATTCTGAGCATATTGCCAAAGTTAAACCTATCACACTGTTAATGGGAATGAGCCTCTCACCTAATTCCTGCCAACACTGAGAACAATTATTCCCTAGTCATCACTAATGGGATGGGTGAAATGGATCAAATTATTATTTTACTAGACATTTATAGGACAGCGAGGCTGATCACTTTTCGTATTAACTATTTAATATACTCTGGAAGAGATTTTTCCAGGCAAATTGCCCCCCCCCCAGACATTCTGATGCTGTTTCCTATTCTTCTATATGAATTTTTTATAAATTAAAGCTGTCAATCCTGTATTAATATTTGTGGCTCATATCCTTCACCACCCCAGTTTGTACTTTGCCTTTATTTCAGGTTATGATTAAGACCAACGAAAGAGGGGCACCTGGGTGGCTCGGTGGGTTGAGCCTCTGACTTTGGCTGAGGTCATGATCTCAGGGTTCATGAGCCAGACCCGACCCGCAGACCCGCATCGGGCTTGAAGCTGTGAGTGCGGAGCCCGCTTCCAATCCTTTGTCCCCGGCCTCTCTGCCCCTCCCCCACCTAAAGGCTATCTCAAAAATAAACATTAAAAAAGAAAAAAACGACCAACAAAAAATAATTGCTCCGGTTGACTTACAAGACTGCTAGAATGGCTTTTACCAAATGGAAATCTGATCATGTCACTTCTTGCTTCAAAACCCCTACGTGTCTCCTTAGCGGCCCCAGCACCAAATTCAGACACTTAATCTGGTCAAGAAAATGTAGGATCTAGTTGTCTCCCTGATTCCTTCCTCTCGGCCTCTTCTCCCTCCCCTCCGATGGCCTATCCGCCTCTCGAAGAATTTGGAAGATGGGGTAACCTCAGCCCACAGCACCTTTCCAGGCCTCCAGGTTCCGGTGCTGTCTCCCCGCTTCCTACAGCATCTGCAGGACAAAGTCCTGCTCCTCCCTCAGAAGCTCATTTAAGGGCAACTTCTTCCAGAAGCAAGCAGGTGCACCCGAGCACCCTAACCAGAGGGGCTTCAGGAAGGAGCCCCCAGCGCTGCCCAACTCAAGTGAGAAAGTCTTGGGTCTTACCCATAAGTTTGGGGTAAATCACATCATTTTACTTCATCATATACGAGATTTGTTTAAATAGGACTCTGGATAACCCAGGCCCCCTCCAAGCAAAACCGAGTCTCCAGGACATGGGCCTGGTTTATCCTGTGACACAGAAAACTTCCTGGTCCTCTCTGCTGGCACACAGCTGACCTGAGTCCTACTTTGACAGGCACGTGTGTTTAGTTTTGTCTTTTGTTTCCAAGTCTACCTTCCTCTCCTAAACTGAGCTCCCCTTCACGTTCTTACTCTCTGACTTCTCATCAGCACAAAAGCCAACATAGAATCTGCAGCTGAAATCAAACTAACTGGCCGTTGGCCTTCCTCGTTTGAAATGCTCCTGTCTCATTCTCAACTCCCCTTTGTGTTGAACTTCTGAAAAATGTCATCTATAATGGGTTTCCTCTCCTCAACACGCTATGACTAGACTCCTGACGCCTGCTCTACGTTGTCAAAAAAATCTCACAGGGAATTTTCGGGGGGAAAGAAAAAAAGAAGAGCTTTTTCCTGCACCCAAGGGAGCTACACGGAACAAGGAAGGGGCCAGGGAGATAGAAAGCAAGGGTATCTAGAACTCAAGCTATGTGGCAGCCCCAGTTTTGACGGGGTAACATCTGAGTCACTTCTACATAAAGGAACACCTTGGGTCATCCCAGGCAGGATGTCTGAGTCAAGGCTCACTCCGGGAACAGAGATGCTAGGCGCCCCTGTCTCTCCAGGCTCGCGTTATTTGTGAGATGCCTGAAACATGCGGGGCTGCTATGGGGAAGGTCCTGCCACGCCCAGGGCCACTGGAGACCCGAAACAGACTTTTCCCTCTGAGACGCGAAGATTGTTTGGGCCGAGGCATGTGACCCGCTCCCTATGGAGTGAATCTCATGGCCAAAGGTCAGGACTTATCTCTTCGGCCCTTTCCCACCACTGCTCAGATTTCCCAGTGTCCTAGACTAGTCAGAGCCAGGGATTACTCTCATCCTCGTTCTACGTGACCTTCACCAGCACTTGACTGAGGCAACCACTTGCCCCTTCTGTCTCTCTTTTAAGTTTATTTATTTATTGTCTTAAGTAAGCTCTACATCCAGCATGGAACTCAAACTCCCAGCCCCGGGATTAAGAGTCGCATGCTCTTCCCACTGAGCCAGCCAGGTGTCCTGCTTCTCTTTCTAAAACTAGTTTATTTTTCATTTTTTAGAGGAGCAAGTGAGCGGGCGAGAGGGGCAGGGAGAGAATCTCGAGCAGGCCCCATGCTCAGCACGCAGCCCGGCGAGAGGCTTGAGCCCATGACCCCGGGATCATGACCTGGGAGTCAGAATAAAGCAGGTTTCCCTCAACAACGTGGATGGGCATCATCCAATCCATTGAGGGCTGAGCAGAACAAAGACGGAGGAAGCGTGTTTGCTCTCTGCTTGAGCTGGGATGTCCAGCTGTCCCTTCCCTCAGACGCTGGCTCCCTGGTGCTCAGACCTCGGGGTTTGGAGCACTTTTCCAGGGGCTCCAGCTTGTGGGGGGCAGAGCCTGGGGCTTCTCTGCCTCCACAGTCACATGAACTGGTCCCTCGTAACACATCTTTTTCTAGATGTCTGTATCTACCCTGTTGGGTCTGCTTCTCTGGAGAACCCTGATACAGTTCTTTTACATCACCACTACAGATAGGTCACTTCTCTTCACTCTTTCCAACTCCATGGTTATGTAGCCGTAATCTTATGGAAGGGC